GTATTGTATTGTATTGTATTGTATTTTGACTCTCCCTGCCGGCCCCTGGAGGGTGGGCTCCCCCTTTGAGACTGGTGCCTCCCAAGGTTTCTTCCTTCTAGGGAGTTTTTCCTTGCCACTGTCGCCTATGGCTTACTCACTGGGGGCTTTGGGTGGGGATGCTGTAAAGCGCTTTGAGACGATGTAATGTTGTGATAATGCGCTATACAAAAATAAATTTGCTGTTTGTTGTTGTTAGCATGCAGCTACCTTTAAATCCCTTTCGTCTCGTGTTCAAATCCCACCTCTGTTTTTGTATTTTGTTCCCTAGTGTTTCATTTGTATGAGTTTTCTTGTTCCTGTGTCTTGTGATTTGTATTTGGTTTCATGTTTTGTGCCAGTGCTTGTGTTTTTTACCTATCTGTCATTCCCCTAGTGTAGATTCTGTTTCTTAGTTACTTTGTTAGTTTGAGTTCCCAGAGTTTAATTATTAGTTTCAGCTGTTGCCTGTTTTTGTGCCTGACCTTGTGTGTTTACCTGATTGCTCGTTGCCCTGCCCCCTCCTGGATTGGTTAATTGTCTGTCTCACTCCTGATGTGTCATTACCCAGTTTAGTTTTGTATTTAAGTTCCTGATCCTGTTCTGTTCTTCCCGGGGCCTGTTTCACAAAGCAGGATTACTTGCTTAGCCAGGTAACTTGCCAGATTTAAGGTAGTCTGGGCTAAATGTAAGTTGATGAAAATAAGGTCTATTTAGCCCAGACTACCTTAAATCTGGCAAGTTATCTGGCTAAGCAAGTAATCCTGCTTCATGAAACAGGCCCCTGGAGTCATTGATGTTTGTTTGATGTCTTATGCTGTGTTCTTTGTTACCTACCTACCTGCTCGCCTGCCCGGCCCTTGTTGTAATTTGTCTTTGTTTATTCCCGTTTTCTTTGGACCCCGCATGGTCATTTTGTTTTGTACGTGTTTCTTGTGTTTTTTCTCTTTGTTAATAAGCCCCTGTTTCCCTGCAAGCCGCCATTGGCTCGTCCATATTCCCTTCCTGCCTGCACCATACCTCGTCCTCGCGCCCGAACCACCCAAGTCCATGACAATAGCCAAGACTTTGGTCTTTTAAAATATATTTTCTCAGCATGATTGAAATGCTTTCTTAAGCACCAAGATAAATAAAACTTTCATTGGTGAAACTCATTAATGTTCATGTGCGTGTGTGTTTAAGAAACGGAGAAACATATTTCTGTATACATTCATACAAATAGGCTACCCATTAAGTTACGGGAACAGCAGGACAGAAATTAAAGTTGGCCATATATTCAGGGAACTTTTATTTGCACATGGTATGATTTTAGCTGCTTCCTGTCGGCATTTGCAATTTTCTTTTTAGGTTGGGCTTCGGAGTTGATAAAGTTTGTCTGGTGAGTAGCCTACTAGTAATAATAGCCAGTAAGGTGGACAGGATTATCCTGTACAGCAGTTTAAAAATTGATCATTGTTGCAAGTCTATAACAAATTCGTATTGATCTGTTTTAAAAAAACAAAACAAAGCTCCGACCATAACATGCTAGCGTTCAGTCATTCCGACCATAACACGCTAGCGTTCAGTCATTCCGACCAATCCACTGCACACGCAAAATACAAACACCCCTTTTTTGGGTTGTCTGTGAGGGCGCAATTAAACTTACTTAAAGCTGCATCTTAACCAAAACTGGGAGCACTGGGAGAAGCTTCAGTCAATCTGGAGAACTCAAGAGACACCAGCCTACTCAAGCGTAGGTGAATCAATGATACTGTCATTAATGAGCACTTTGCTGTATAGAATCATTTCTGGATACACTTGTCATGGTCCATACTGCTCCTAATGGCCAAAGTCGAGGTGCTGACTGAGGAGGAATCAACTGCAGGCTTTACAGTACAGTGCATGCAGGCAGAGAGAAGCTGCGGAAGGGACCCTAATGCTGACACATGATGAAATGCTGCTGTAGCAGAGGCTGGTCCAGGCTGCTGGAAGCCCCTCTCTGAATCAGGGGGGTTTGCAGGCTGGATGGGTTATGCTC